CTCTTCTGCTTGAAGAGAGGAGAAGACACCTTGCAATTCAATTCCCCATCAGTGCAATTCTCCATTCTCATGCATTACTGCGTGTGCATGTATATTTACGTGTTCTTCTTGTGATGCTAGTAACATGTTGCAACTGATACATCTTACAACCCCAACGTTTTTCATATATATGGGTCAGGATTGGGTGACACCTATTTTGGCTCATATTATAGAACATTTTTTAGTGTGGTTCTCATTTCGTAACTATTTTCAAGAATCCAAACTATCTATACTTAAGTTCATCAATCATAGACCATCTTTGGAAAAAAATAGATAATTTCAAAACCATTAAAACATTGATTAGTTGTGAAGAAAATGGACGATACAGTTACAAAGAAACACTTAAAATGACTAGCATTGAACCTAATGGTCATACAATTTAGAATTTTGGATTTTTTGGTAGAGATGATCATTGAGGGAATACCTAAAACATAGACAATTGGATTGTTGAAATACATTATGGAGTTGGCTCAACAAAAATATACCAAAATATGTGTCAAAAAAGTGTACGTCCTCCGATCCTAAAAACCCGTTATTCAAGAACGTATGAAGGCTTTCAAAAGTCAAGATAGAACACATTAATTTAAAAAAAATAAAAAAATAAAAAATAAAAAAACCACAATAGTACATAAATTAAACTTGGATGCCTTGCTCCGCATCAGAATTCTCATGCATGCATGCTCAATTATCAGATCGTCTCATCCTTGATTCCATATATAATGACGTATAATGGGCTGCTGAGTATGGATTGTTGACAGTGCTGATAGTGAAAGTGAACTTAAAAGGAATAATATATATTGTAGGAAGAAGACCATCGCCCGCCCATTAATATGCATGATGGATTAGCTAGGGTCGTAGCTTTCCTCAAGAGATGAGTAATATATACTATGATCCTGAGTAGGGTGTAGTACTCTATAATTTTCCATCGCTTTCGCATTCTTTTAAGTTTTTCCTTCATGGGTTAGACTGCTAATTAGTAATTAATTAACTAAAGAGATGATAACATGTCTAGTCGAGCTCTCTGGTAAAGGACATCATGTTTCAACATATTAATTTGAGGCAAAAGTAAAATTTCATGTTAGTATATACTAGATAGTGCATTGCAGTCACCAAGCATTATATAACTTATTGCTATTTCGGAAGAAAAACGATAAACATTAACTTTTTTTTTTTGCAGGCAGGTGTGTGTGTGTGTGTATGTATGTATGTATGTATACCTTTGAGATTCTTGTCATTTGGCACCCTTAAAGGACATCATGTTTCAACATATTAATTTGCGGCAAAAGTAACATTTCATGTCACAAAATGTCAGTTAGTATATACTAGATAGTGCATTGCAGTCACCAAGCATTATATAACTTATTGCTATATTTTGGAAGAAAAACGATAAACATTAACTTTTTTTTTTTTTTTTTTGCAGGCAGGTGTGTGTGTGTGTGTGTGTGTGTGTGTGTGTGTGTGTGTGTGTATATATGTATGTGTGTGTATATATATATATATGCATGTATATATATATATATGTATGTATGATATATATGTATATATGTATATATATATATAGGAATTGCTTAAGGGGAGGGATCCCCATTTTTTCAAAAAAATGGGGACACGCTCCCCACCGTTGGATTTGACTTAAATGAAATCCTGTGGTTGAGATTCTATGGCCTGTGTTTTAATCTCAACCACACAATTTCATTAAAGTCAATCTAACGGTGGGGAGCGTGTCCCCATTTTTTTTGAAAAAATGGGGATCCCTCCCCTTAAGCTCCATGTATATATATATATGTATGTATATATATATATATATATATATGTATGTATATATATGTATGTATGTATGTATATATGTATGTATATATATGTATGTATGTATGTATATATATGTATGTATGTATGTATGTATGTATGTATGTATGTATGTATGTATGTATGTATGTATACCTTTGAGATACTTGTCATTTGGCACCCTTAAGGACTTGAAGGTCCAAATTTCTCTATGAAACGTAAGTAAGGAACCAGGAATTTTTCGACCGTACGTGGACTACCATTTTTATTCATACAAAGATTTAAATGAAAATTCATTGGACTACCATTTTTATTCATGCAATGATTTAAATGAAAATTCATTCATTCTTTTATTCAGAAAAACAAAAAAAAAAAAAAAAAAAAAAAAAACAAAGTTTGAAGTATTCATTCTCAAAAGCTTCGATCCTTGAAAAAACGTTGGAGTTCAAATTTAATCCGCTAGCATAGTCATCCAACAAACATTAGCAACTATCCCAAAAGCACAAACATGAACCTCAAGTTTGAGTTTTAACAATTTATTGGGTGCATGCATTGGGGATAGTTGAAATAAAAAACGCAAATGTTATTTTGTGGGGGTTTCTCTTTTGGACTCGTACATTATGAGTTTTAACTTTTGGGTGCATTAGAAAAAATAAAAAATAAATATCGAGGGTGATCTATTAGTAAAAGGCTACCTATGGAGTGAGATGTAAAGGGATTTTAACCAACGTTGTTAATAGTGTTCATTGTTGTACTAATTAATGTTTCAAGTCGATTCATTTCTCCTCCAATATCGTTTATTTAAAAAAATAAAAAATAAAAAAACAAGGAGCGATGATAACTTTCTTAAGTTCAATTAGTTTATGGTAGAGTAATGTGAGCAACTAAATAATTCGAGCTGGTTAGTTACTTCATTATCAAGTCAAATGATGAAAGCCATTAATTCAAGCAGCTGGTTACGCATGCCTAATTTAAATAATTTGTTGTATTTGTGTGGATAAACTTGTGGCCCAAATTAATCAAGTTGAGAACTTTTTGAATTTGTCTTAAGAAAAATGTTAAGGAGATTCTCTGAAAAGTAGAATATTCATAGACTATTTACCACTTTATATTTTTAGCACAATTTCTATGTTAATACTATAAAATATTGTGTCAAAATCTTGAAGTGACGAAGAATGTTTGGAGAGTCTCACTTTGAGAGTCTCTCGACATTTCTCTTTGTCCAATGTGTCCATGCATATGTACAGCGCAATAATCGAGTTCATAAAATCCCAGCAGAAGAAGCAAAAAATTTAAGTGTATGTCCAATTTGTGTTTGATAAAAGGCTAAAATTTCTGGCAAAGCTACACCAGGAGAAGAAGAGGGCAATGCAAGTGCAAGAGAAATAAATATTAAACTGATAATTAATTGGGGGAGGCAGATTGTCTGCCCTCCTGTTTGGATGCCCTTCTTATCCTCTCCTATTTTATGCGATCACGGTTAAATCACGTCAACATTTTATATTAATTTTTTATAGAAATAATAAGACAAAAAGCAATAAGAATATGTTGACGTGACTTAACTGTAACCGCACAAATAAAAAGGATAAGAATAGCACCTAAACAGGAGTGCAGACAATCTACCTCCTTAATTGGGTGGATAAATTGATAATCATATATATTTGCGGGGGCAAAGGGGACAAAGCGTGGGGTTGACTTGTCATATCACCTCAAATTATTATTACTGGGCTACCCCTTCTTCCTCTCTCGATGCATCTAAGAAGAATAAATGGGTTAGCCTTGCAATAACAAAAATGTTATTCTTACTATTTATAAAGAGCTACACACGTTGATAGGTCATATTTTCATTAGAAATATGATACAAGTGATGATATAATTAGATAATAAATGTAGCATTACTCTTACAATAATTAAGGAAAGTTGAGAGTTTTAAACTCGGAACGCAACGTATAGTTACAAGAAACTCAGCCCCCATTCACCCGGATATGGTACCATATGCAAATGACCTCTTTTTGAAATTACTAGCAAATTGGGATGTAACTACATTGACGGAGCGAATGTGCTTTCTTTAGGCTATGAATTTATATCTCTTGTTTCCTAATTTAGGTTAGGGTGAACTAAAACTTCGTAATGAAAAAAAACAAATACAAGATAGAAGCATAAATTACAAAAACTAAGAACTAGATAGTTTTCTTTCTTAATTTTAAGAAAGGGAAGGCAAAAGCTAAAATACTGCATGTTGTAGGTGTGATTTGTTTTGGGGGTAATAGAACGGGAGTACTAAACAGCCCCACTGAAAAGACTAGATACAATCTAATTTGGGAGAGATTCTTGGGTAGGGGAATCGAAGTGGGGTGAGTGAGAAAGATAGTGAGACCAGAGTAGGGTATGTGTGGGCCTCAAAATCAAGAGAAGTGCGGTTTGTGGTGTTTAATGTGTCTTGGGCCAGAGGAATTACATGGTCCGGGTTTTGGACCATAGAATTTCTCCTAATTTAGAGAGGCTCTATATTGTTTTGCATAAGTGTCTTATGACCACTGTTAAGTAACTTTTTTTAGTACAAACGATATTCTATGTGAATACAATAATTTGAACCGGAGAGTTGTGGTTATCTTCAGTACTTGACTAGTTGATTTAGTCACAATCCAGTCCAGCCCACCCTCAATCCAGTCCACACAAAGCACACTTAAAACTTTATTTTTTGAGTATCAACACCAAGTTCTAACTTCCAACCACAAGTACTGTCTCAACTCTCTAAATTCCGCCCACCAAGCAACCCGAAAACGAAATCAAACTCGAAAAAAAGTGTAATTTGTGGTGTAAATGGAGCCCTAAGTCCAAGTTAAGTAAGAACCGCAACCAATTACCAGGAAAATGACAACTACAACCAAAACCACACTGCCAAAGGAACATGAATCATCCAACCCACTTAACCACAAAGAAGCAGTTGTGCATCACATAAGTTGATTTTCAATGCTACACTGAGACACAGTTAACAGTAGACTGAAACTTTTGCCGACTGATAGGATAGTCTACACTAGATTCATTTAAGCTACAGAGAGGAGGGAGAGTTTGAACCCAGGATGCATCAGGTTGAAGAGGAAGACCCAATCCACCAAGAGGATCCACCAGTTGCAACAGTAAACTAAAACTTAATTGAGCAGAAAAATTACAGATCAAATTAAGATATATGAAAATCTAATCATATTTCATCGGGATATTAGTTACCTGTAATCAGAGTTTATGCAACACATGCATCTCACATTTTAGCATCTGAGCTGATTAACTCCTCAACAGCTACAAACAAGGCTATGGTTGATAATTAATCAGTCTCGGAACTTTACAAAAACGGAATATGTAGTTGCACTTGTCTCTAGCAACCGCATTCAATTTCATTTCCATCAACAACATGGCTGTTCTTACTACTGCTCCCTGCACTCCCATCCGCAGCTCTTTTAACCATAACAATAGCCAAGTGCAGCCGAGGGAGGGTTCCTGAATAACCCACACTAAGTGTCAATAAGTATCGTGGTATCATGGTACAGGCAATCTACATGGTCAGAATAAAACTTGTATTGGCAAAGTTCTGTTGGTGCGTTTCAGACGATTGCCCAAAACTTCTTCCTACAAATTAACACAGTTTCAGGTTTCTTCTCTATGTTTTCCAGCGTATGCGATTCAACCTCCCATAGAAATTTTGGAGCAAGATCCTGGATCCTTGCTGTAATGGTTTCCGCATCCCTAATTATAATGAATCCCTGCACAATAACTCAGTATAAGTCTGAATCATAAGAAACTTCGAACATAAAGGAGTGGCAAGAAATCTCTTCGTGGCTTGATAGAGAAAAGGAGTTCTACTTAACAACATGAAAATGATCTAAAATGTTGTATACCATGACAAAAGCTAAAGTAAATATTTCATGTATAGAAATAATGAACTCCCGATATAGGTAGGATAATGGCACTAGGCCCTTATCTATTTAAAGTAGTGCAGGAAGAAATAACTAAAGATATATAAGCGGACATCACATGAAGTTTGTTGTTTGCTGATGACAAAGTTTATTGGACACATCTGATAAAGCACTTGTCACAAAACGGAAAACATGAAGTAATGCATTAGGATGAAGGGGCATAAGTTTTAGGAGAACAAATAATATGGGGAGTGCAAATTTAACAATGATACCAAACATGATAAACAAGGGCAGGTGAGAATTTTTGTCCGACTCCATATGCATGTAACAAGGGAAGGAAGAAGATGACAATGATGATGACAAAAGTTGGAATTGAAACCTAGTATGTGAAAGCCATGACTATAGAAAATTTTGTTTTCCTTTCTTCTTCTCTTTCTTGATATTCTTTAACTTTATGTTTCTTAAACTCCACACAAAGAAAAATAAGAGATAACATTAAATCGGAATTATTACCTGAGGTCTTATCATCCTGTCCATCTCTAGAAGGATATCCGCCAATACGCAACCTTGTCGTCCCCGGTTCTTATAATGAGAGAAGAGGTGGTTGGCATGTAACAGATCATAGGTACGTGGATAAGTGGAAAATGGTTCGCACCTACATTAACATGGATTAGATGGCCAATACTAATTCTTGTTTTGCGCCCGCGGGGGGGGGGGGGATTCTTTTAGTAGGACAAAATTTGAGCAGAATATTCCGCATTTAGCTACACTTTGTGCACAACATTTGGAATCTAGCTGCAAAAGGTAATAGAAAAAGAACTTACCAATCATGGAAAGCACCAATCAGACCACGATTGTAAATGGCAGACAACGTATTGCTCATGCTTGCAGGAACTATATTCATCACCCATGTAGGCGAATCATTTAAAGCCACAGCAAATCCACCACAAAATGCATTCATGTCCATGACATTTCGTATTTCTGTCTTATTGACATTCAGCAACCTCCAGTAATGCTGAACTTGATCTTGCCAAAAGGCAGTGTCTAAAGAAAATACCTCTTGAGTAACACCTGTTATAAACATATGACATATTGATGGAATCAGACTGGATAACTTTGTTTTCTAAACATTAAAAAAAAAAAATAATAATAATAAACCAAAAGTGGTACGCTAGCAATCCCTCTCATGTAACTAACTAAATAGATAAAGGTCATTGAAGTAGTTTAATGTTAATAGGCATCAAATTCAGCCTCACATATAACTAGAATGGTACCAAAAAACACCTTTACAACAACAAGGGTTTAGGGAAAAAAAAATGAAAGAGAAACACAGAGGCTTGTCAAATAAATAAAGAAAAGGGACAAACCTTTTCCGCTAAGACTCTCTGAGTATACTGAAAGGCGCTCAGGTCTAGAAGGAAGTTTTGGAGAATCTGATTGTGCACCCCTGACTTGTATACAATTCCTCAGCTGTGTATTCCATGATGACTTGGAATCATCCCCAGCATCACATAAATCTACAAGCTTCTGTTCAGAATTGTGCTGGAGGCATGACAGATCATCTTGTTTAATCCAGATCGCAGTCTGAACTTTTCGAGCAATGAGTTTCCAGCACATTGCTGAAGTCAGATTCATTAACTTCTCCCAAATTATAGGATAATCTTTATCCTTCCTATAAGCAGGTGGAGCTGAATAGACAAAGTACCCATTAGAGCGCAAAGGCGATTCACTTCTTTTAGCAAAATGCCATCTGCACAAAACAAATTACAACAAACACACACAATAAGAAAACTCCATGAAGATACAAAATAAAAATAAAAATATACTAATAGGATTAACATTGTAAGCTTATAAACCCATTAATGGTCAAATTGGCCTCACCAAATCTAGCATATTGCTTCGTTATACCTTTCATCCCATCTAAAAAAACATTATCTAGTTCAGCGTTTAAACCAATGAATATCCATTTACTGAAGCCACCTCATATTGATAAGGAGTGGAGACTGAGATGTCAATGGTTTTTGGTGTCCGTGTGAACTCTTGCAAATTTTTTTTATCAGTTTTTGGGTGGTTATAGTTCCTTGTTAATTCAAGATTTTTTTATAAGACCTCGATGATTCGAGATCAAATCAGCAGGCTCCAAAACTCAAAAGGAACAGATTCTGTAGAAGAGATCTAGCAATATAACCTATGGACAACAACTAAAACACCAATATAAACAAAGTTTAGGATAGAAAAATACCATTTTCATGCCAATCAACTCGACACCTAGAACAATGAACCATCTCAAAAGAGCTAGAGGGATATGGCATTTGTTTTGTTGCTATAGCAGAAATCATTGCACCAATGCCTCTCTCTAAAGCAAATTGAATTTGATTCTCATGACCATCCTTTGGAGCAAAGGACATTGTTTGTATATCCAAGGCAAGAAGAAAAGCAGAAAAGCTGGCAACCCCACAACCGACATCCAAGACTTGACTAACTCCTGCAGAACGTAGATCACCGGTTCCATTTGTTATCATATCTCCCAATCTGCACAATCCGGTAAAGTTAATTAAGAGATAATCATATGCCTGATTGTCATAAATACTAATTCTAGTGTCCAGGAAATGAAAGACATCAAAAGCAAAGAAGGTAAATATAATGATTACAGATACCTTTGAATGTACTCGGGTGCACCATGCTTAAAATGAGTACCACCACCAGGGAACCACCAGAATTGATCCTTTGGATGCACCCAATTTTGTCCTCCTTTGACTTCAGCAAGATGTGTATGATTCACATTGCTTCGCCACACATAATCCCTGCTGGTTGGCCATCTTATTGGTTTCTTATAATCTTTTGGTGGTGGAACCAAGCAAAACAAGCGCTTTTCAATGGGAGGGCAGTGCCTCTCTAGTTCTTCTCTTCTATTGGTGTCCAAGCTTGGAAGCAAAGTCTTTACATAAGCAACATCATGGCAGGGAATGTACTCATTTAAATTCAATGGGCATACATTGATACCCGTCTCTGGGATCAACGGTGGTGTTTTTCTGTAAGTCAGAGCAATTTTATTTGTAAATGTTGAAGTACCTGCAACACCATTTATCACAAGTAGATTAAATTCGAAAAACCAATAGCATACAGAGACAAATATTTTTAGTTTACAACTAGAAGCTATCTTTGAAATTACATTGCAAACAATATTTGAGCTTTCTAGAAATTAAAAGCGATGCCTAGATTCCCTTTCTCTGTTTCTCAGGTATTCCCGATCTACTTTTAAAGATTAAAAAAAATGGCAGTACCACTGAGCGTCCCAAATATTTTCACAATAAATTTGGGAAATTGGCTATAAAATGATCCGAAACCAAACCCCAATTGTTGAACTGAACAAATTTAAACATCGACGACACAGCAAAACTTGACATGCTGTAACGTTTTGTTCACTTCCCATCTAGATCATTAACTTTGAAATCCAAATTAAACATGCTGTAACATTGTGTACATCAATTTGCAGAAAACATAAATAGAAAACAAAAAATGAACAGTCTATAAATAGATGGTTAAAAAAAATGACACATTTACTAAGAATCGCCACAAGTATTTGATTCAAGCTAACCTTTTTATCCCCCAAACAAAAATTTCAAATACAATGCATTCTTAAATCTGACTTGGTCTGCAAAACAAGCTCATATGTGTGTGTGTGTGTACAGAGAGAGAGAGAGAGAGAGAGAGAGAGAGAGAGAACAAACCAGGGGATGGAGGAGAACTGGAGGAGCTTAGCTGAGATGCATAAATGGTAGCATTGTTGGCATAGAGAGTTCCAGCATAGAAGCAACCAACCATCAGCAGCAGACCCACCATTATCATCTGCCCTAATTTCCATTCAAACGCCTGCCCACCTCCCATTTCCTCAATTCCCCAACTGGGTCACTCCCAATTTCCCACCAACCAAACAGATCCACTGAGAATTTCAGGATGTGAAAGAAAGAGAAGAGAGAGAAGAGAGAGAAAGAGAGGATGAAGGTGGAGAGATTTGCTTCTTGTATATTGTAGAAGTCCAAACAGATTCTTTCTTAGAAAAAAAACAAATGTCCAAACGGATTGACCTCACGTGGTAAGTCTTCACGACGCACGTGACCGTGGTTAAGAATTAAATGGAGAAATTCCTAAATTGATTTGATTTTTTGTATTTGTAACGATGAATTAGGGATACTTTTATACTTACAAATCCAGATGGTTGAGAATTATAACTAATAACTCTCACTTAACCAATTGGCAACAAGATTAATTTTTTTTTCTTAATTAATCTACAACTGAAAATGTCTTAACAAATATTTGAACTTGGTAACTACCTTCATTATAATTAGTAACTTTTTACTTAAACACATTAACAAATCTTTCAACTATCAAACTAGTATAGTTACCCTACCGAAAAATCTCACTTTGCTAACTTTTTTGTTTCACTTTCATGCATAAATTTTGATTTTTATGTCACTTTCATACATTCATTAGCACGTCTGTTAAGTCATATGTTAATTGATAACGTGTCATATCTTTGAACCATCAAACTTGCATGTGAAGTAAAATATTAAATAATAATTAACTAATGAAATTTTTTTTTTTTAAAAATCCACGTTTTCCTCTCATCTTCCCCCAACCCTAATTCCTTCTTGAGAAATTAGCTAAAGGACTTCAAACTTTAGTTGCTGAAATGGAAAGAAAGATGCTTTATCTGGATGTTCCTTAATGTCTCGGCTACTCATGGAATGTGAGAATCAAATGAATAAGCATTTGCCTCTCTATTTTTTATTGACAAAAATAGATTCATCATTCCATTCCAATTGATTCAAGTACGGGAAAAGAGAACTAATGTCATGTCCCGATATTTAGATTGAAATACCATAAATGATATTTTTCGTAGAAATAGGAATACACAAGTGACTTGGGTGAAATGATGGAAATGTTTAAAGTACCTTGTGTAAATATAGTAGGGTGAATTACCAATTTAATCCTTGAATTATTACTTGAGTGAAAGTTAGGTCTCTAAACTATTTTTTCATAAAATCAGCCATTGAATTTTAAAAATCTACCAATTACATCCCTAATATGAGATTCAAAACTAGTATATTCAATTCCTTCAATTTAAGTCACGTTACTTGCATGTGATACACATTGGAGGGTAGATTGGTAATTTTTCATAAAGAAATAGAGTATGGAGTTAACTTTAGAGGGTAAATTAGATGTTAGATTCATAACATGTATGAATTGTTAAGGGTTTAGAGGCGAGAAAATGACAGTATTACACTCTAAAGTGTGTCAAGTGCCTTAAGTTGACAAAAAATTGGAAAAATTAGTTGTGAATAATAGTAGAGTTGAAATTAGCAATTATAATTGAATTTAAGGACTTTTTTTAATTCAGGGACCTAATTTTCACTGAGGTGATAATTCAAGGATTAAATTGACACTTCAACCAATATAGTATAGAGAAGTGTAGATATTGTTGATACGATGTCTATAGTATCAAGATAGTGAAGATATTGCTGATATGATGTCCATATTGACAGTCATTTATAGATATAATATCGTAGATATTTTGAGTATATCGTCTATATGTTCAAAATAACATTGCGGGCATATATATATATATATATATATATATATATATATATATATATATATATATATATTAGTACAAATCTAATTTGGTATCGAATTTACCATCTATGAGTTCAATTAGATATTTTTATCGGTACATCCGATCAACAAAAAAAGGTAGGAAATTGAAACAAAAGAACACGCTTGCTCACTCATAAATTAAAGATTTTTTTATGCTTTCACTGACTAATACTAACAGGATAATAGAGATTTTCGATAGAAAGACAATTAGCAAGAAGGTATCATTGATGCACCTTTAGTTTAGCAGACACTTTAGTGCTCTAGCGGCTCAGCACGAAGGTGCTTAGGAGACGCTACAGGGTCTTTCAATGCATTCTCGTCAAAGAGCCTCGCTTCCCATAAAGTAGTTCTTTACTTACCGTTCATGTGCCACAATTGTACCCCATTTACTCAATGCAAACGTGGAAAGGGTAGTTTACTTGCTCATATGCAGCTAAGCAAGAAAATCAATGAAACTAAAACAAAGCATAGAGTACAAAGATGTATTTACATTAAGGGGAGGGCATATATATTTCTTAAACTATCTACATAAACCATATTTTGTACACCACATCAGTCACCACAAAAAATATTCCCTTAAAAATATTAGCCTTTAAAAATAGGAAAAATTGTCCAAATTAACAAAAGGAGAAATTAGGTTCCCATTCCTTTTTTTTTCAACTTCCTTGATTGAAACCTTATTCCTTTTCAATTTTTCATAAAGGTCCCTCGGTTTTAATAAACGTCATTAATTATTTCAATAATAAAATATTTTACATGTCAAGATAATTAAATTTTATTTCCAAATATATTCATTTAGTGTTAGAAACATTACATTTAATATATATATATATGGCTTAATTTTGTACCATATATTTTTATTTTTACTTTGTACCCATTTTAATTTGCAACCTTTTTTTTTAATTGTACCAATTTTCTTTTCAATTTTAGTTTGTATACATATATTAATTTCTTTTTGTGTACATATTTTTCAAACTTTTATTTGTACTCATTTTTTTAACCTTTTATTTGCACAAATAATTTACTAATAATGTACCCATTTGTCTTTAAAAATGTATCACTTTGTTATATATAAAATGTACCATTTTTTTTTTGTAAGTACCCTATTTTATGTAAAATGTATCCGTTTTCTAATTTAAGACCTATTTATTTTTTTAATCTAAAATGTACCAATTGTTCTTGTGACAACCCGTCCCAAATTTTATTATTTTATAAATTTTAAAATGTGGATTTACGAGAATACCCTAGTGGCAAGGGTATTGATTTTCGTTGACCGCTAGTTCATGATGCGTATGAACTATTACCTTACTGTATTCCAAATGTATGTTGGTAAGGATTGTTATTTATTATTTCTTTCATTTCATATTAGTATTATTAGTATTATTATTATAAAGCTGATTGTTAGAAAAATAGGAGGAGGGAAAAAGAAATAAGGGAAGAAAATGAAAGGGGAGGCTGCCTGACGGCAGCAGATAAAAGGGAGAGAAAGAAGATGGGCACTGCCCAATCGGAAAGGAGAGAGGGAGGTGAGGAAATCAATCAGGAAGGGAGATCACGGAGGGAAAGGACGAAAGTGAGAAGCAACAAATCGTGCCCTTCATCCCTGTGACCCGTTCGACCCGAGAAGAACCTGGACCTCCCCGAGCCATTTCTGACGATATTCGCCATTATTCCCGGCGAATCATAACTCTTCCACACTTGAAATCACCATCTAACCTTTCCCTCTTCCATTTCCAACCAAATTTAGAAGAAATTTGGTTGAAATTTTGTGAAGAACCGTCGGTGGGGTGTGACAGGTTTGTGTGAGAAATCCTCAAATCTTGAAGCTAGTTCTTGCAATTAACACCACCAAAACACTTCTCTAGGGGCTAGGAACAATGCCTAAACATTGGTTGGGGCGGTGGAACACCGAAGGTGGAGGATCAAGGCCACCCAAATTCTAGGTTCCGATGGGTTTTCGAAATTGAAGCTTTTCTCGGCCAAATTGGTCTTAGTCACATGTATGAAAGTTGTTCTACTCATTGAGATCTTCAAATCTGTAAATTTTGGTAATTTTTAGAGATAGTTGATTTTTCCGACGAGTCGGAGCGGCCAACCGCCACCCACGGCAGCGCGTGGCCAGAGGGCGGCCAATGCTATTTTTAGGCTATATTTGATGCCTTGAATTCAGTTTGGAGAATTGAATGACGTAGATTGATCCTTAGAACCAAAATTCTCTAAGATACGTTAATATGCCATTATATGAATCGACGATCCGACCGTTGGATTGTCATCAAAATTTAATAGGTTATTATTCATAATATTTGAGGAATATAGGAACTTACGGATTTAGAATCCGACGTACGGATCTTCTCGAATTGGATTTGTAAGTTTGTAAAATAAAATGTTAACCGCCACTTGGTTTTGGCAATTAGCGGAGATCCAACCGTTGGATTGTTCCGAAACTTTAGTATGTTATTCTAGAAGCATAATGTGGATCATTGGAAGTTACGGATCAGATACCTGATTTGTAGATCTTCTGGATCGAATTATGTGGACTCATGTGCGATGTAAGTTATGTATAGTATCAACGAGAATTCTGAGATATGGTTTGATAATTGATCACAGGCACCGATCGTTTGGGACACCTCGATTTTTGTGCTAGTAAGTTGTAGCACGGACTCTAGGTGAGTGGATCTTTCCTTGCTTATCATATTTTTCATGATTGATAATCCTATAAATGTTTTTAAATAAAATTGAGAAATTTATGCCATGACATATATATATTTATATGTTATAAAATACTATGAGATGGTTGAGTTTAGATTTCATCGTGATATATCCATATGCGTATTACTATAAATGATTATTGCGAACTACGAATGGCTTGATCCCTATTTAGGGTACGTAGGCAGTCTAACGAGATGTTAGATGCAGCCATATAAGAAATGAGATTATATAATCGAGACAATAGCCTTGTTTAAGGAATTGAGCAATGTGAGGGATATTGGTGAAAAATGTGCGTTATAACTTTATGTTTTGGTGATTAATAGTTAGTACACCATATTATATAATTGGAAATACTATGAAACGTTTTTATTTTAGATTTCATCATGGCATATCCTTACTTATATTCCTTGCACATAATTATTGGGAACGCTCTAAAGTGCAAAGGTGAACGCATGACACACATGTAAGTTCAGGTAAGTTCAGGTAAGCCCAAGTAAGTATACAATATTAGTTGAATTGATGGGGTAATGATATGACTACATTTATGTTTAAAGCAACTCCGACACTGTCGTACAGGTTGTAATAGTAGGCAACTCCGGCATTGTCGTACGGGTTGCTTATGAGTTGTACATGTTGTATTAGATGCATTCAAAGCTCGTAAACTTGCACCCCGGTGTTAGTACTCCTGCCCGTGGCTAGGGCACAATCCTTCACGTAACTTTCACCTCCCGCACCATACGTTCACCTTGAATTCAAGGTAGGTGCACAGGCTGCCATACAGACCATTATAGGTGGTTCCGACTCGTAGGTGACTCTTCACGTGATCGTAGCACTTGAGCTTACTCATTTACACCTAGTCCTGTTGTACAAACCACTTCTGTGGTTCCGACTCGTGTGCAGGCGTAGTGTCGTATAGGTCACTAGAGGTGACTCCGGTTTATGTGCTAGCAATGATTAATGAAATATGAGTACAGTCGTACAGGTCATTAGAGGTGACTCCGACTTATATGCTAGCCACGATTGATAAGATATGTGATGAGTATGTGATGAGCTAGCATATGTAATGAATAAGAGACAAGCTAGCATATGTGATGAGTTAGCATATGTAACGAATAAGAGATGAGTTAGCATATATGATGAGTATGTGATGAGCTAGCATATGTAACGAATAAGAGACGAGCTAGCATATGTGATGAGTTAGTATATGTAACGAATAAGAGATGAGCTAGCATATATGATGAGTATGTGATGAGTTAGCATATGTAACAAATAAGAGATGAGCTAGCATATGTGATGAGTATGTGATGAGTTAGCATAATTAACGAATAAGAGATGAGCTAGCATATGTGATGAGTATGTGATGAGTTAGCATATGTAATGAATAAGAGACGAGCTAGTATATGTGATGGATATGTGATAAGATAGCATATGTAATGAATACGTGACGAGCTAGCATATGTAATGAATATGTTATGAATTAGCATATGTGATGAGATATGGGTAAGTTGTACAGGTCACCCTAGGTGACTTTGACTTGCGTATTAGTATGAGTTATTAATCGCATAATTATTTGATATTATTGATGAAATGCTGTGTTGTGGTATATTATGAATTTTCTGGTAACTATACAGGTGTTATAGTGAGGGGTTATAATGTTTTGCATGGTTTCTATTAAAATTATACTTACAGGGCCACTCACCCTTGTCTTGTCTTCACCTTCCATGTTTTATTAGCTGAGCTTTCTTATCATCGAAGATTCGTGGCAATTCTTAGTATTGGAGATTATTTCGAGAGTACGATTCTTAATTCACTATTCTGTACTTGCTTATGCTCTAACGTCACGTGTGAAGAGAGTTCATTCCGGCTCACCGGTGCACTTTGGTATTTAGGCACTCTTATGTTTAAATTTATTCACATTTTCTTTCACATCAGCACACTTTATGGCTTCGTCACCTTCCAGGTGTCGGCCAACATAGCTCGATTCAGAGTCCTAGTGGACATTCTGGGTCGGGGTGTGTCAGTTCTTTTATATAAAATGTATCCAATTTTTTTTAAACAAAAATGTACCCATTTTAGTGGACATTTTGGGTCGGGGTATGTCAGTTCTTTTATTTAAAATGTATCCAATTTTTTTTTAAACAAAATGTACCCATTTTTTTATATAAAACGTACCACCTTTTTTGTATAAAAGGTACCAACTTTTTGTATGTAAAATGTACTGTATAAAACTTACCAATTTCTTGTATGTAAAATGTCAATAATATAAGTAATGACAAATCATGAGTTTTATTTAAATATAATTTATCTTAATGACAAATCATGTCATTAGAATAAACTATACTTTTTTATATAAGTATAATTTATTTTTTAATATTTTTAATCCCACAAATCTTGAATTTTATTTAAAATCTCATTAATATAAGTAACTACAAGTATCAAATTAAAATTATAATAACTTACATACAAATGGATTATTGCATTAATTTTAGAAACTTCAATAAAAAACTGAAAACTAACAAGGTTTTAGTTAAAGATAATTAATAAATAAGGACCGTATCAAAAGTTACCCAATTCCTAATTTTAAAAGTTAAAAAAATTAAAAAATAAAACCCAGCGTTGCAGACAAAACCCCCAGCTTAAACCCTAACACTTGCCCATCCGGACGCAGTTAACAAATTCCAAAATCTCTTCGGCCTCAACCGTCTAATGCTGCCGCAGGATCTTCTTCAACCTCTCACCAATGTCCTTCCCCTTCCCCTTCCCCTCTTGGTACGTCTCTGAATCTCTCTCCCCGTTTCTTCTGCAACTGGTGGCTCCACTTTCTGTTTTTTGGCATGCTCAGTGATTGATTTGATTACTTTTAATTCTATGGTGTTAGTTTTCTGGGTCACTGAAATATTAGGGTTTGAATTTGGAAGAATTAGATTACGAATCGCCAGTTAGGGCTAAACTTCAGGATTCTGGGGGCTGTTCTTGTGGATATTTCCTACGGAAATTCTAGTTTCTCTGAAATTCACAGCCACTGTCGCCGTTATAAGGAAGATACCCGCTTCAACCGCGCACCCCCTTTTATCTATATTGAGAATATATCAGCGATTTTGTGGATATTCGTGTTCGTGTGTGTATGCATAAGTTTACGTTTCTTATACTTACACACTGGTTCGTTGTGTAGCAATTGGTATGTCTTAGGTCTTACTTGCATTTGTTTTCCATGAGCTGTGATATTTGCTTCTTGTTTTCCCTTTTTGTTCACCTGTCAATACACAAGAATTGCAAGTATGAAGTATCACATTCGTAGGTTTTATTGGGATTGCCAGAAAATAAAAATGTTTTCTTGTTACAGATTCTACTAGTCGGAGAAGCTACAGCAACTAGTTCTTTTCCGTTCTGGCTCCTATTATGCTTGCCAACTGCAGACAAGTTTTCAACCCTTCTCGTTGCTCTATGAGATTTGCTTCTTCTGAAGGTTATTCTGTTCTTAATTCAAGTGATCTTCAACACTGGTTCAAAAATTGGCAAGGACTCAGAAAAAATAAACTGACAGCAAGCACTTTTGCTGCGGCGGTTGGTTTTTTTCATCGCAGAAGACTCCAGCTTTGGCTAGAGAAGATTGGAGCCCTTGAACCATTTTCGGGTAATTTGGCTACCTGTTGGAGCAATATCAAAGAAGAGGAAGCACTTGAAAGATACAAGCTGATAACAGGAAATTCCGTTTTGTTTCCTGAATTTCAAGTTTATGGTAATAGGAATGTTGGAGAGGATTGGCTGGGAGCTTCACCAGATGGGGTGATTGATAGGCTGGTATACGGATTGCCTTCACGAGGAGTACTGGAGATTAAGTGTCCATTTTTTTATGGAAATATGAAGAAGGCTACCCCTTGGTCACGAATTCCTCTATTGTGTTCCACAGGCTCAGGGTTTAATGGAAATACTTGACAGGGATTGGATGGATTTCTATGTTTGGACTCCTAAAGGGAGCAGCCTATTCAGGGTATATCGGGATGCAGAATACTGGGATGTTCTGAAAATAGTTCTCTCGGATTTTTGGTGGAATCATGTCCAGCCAGCGAGGGAGATCTTGAGCAAGTCTCAGATTAGAGATCCCCTCGTTGAATTAAAATCGCTCAAGCCAACACCCAGGCATGAACTGTGTAGTTATATAGTTTATGAAAGCAAATGCATTGTTGATAACTCCAAGTTATTGATGCGTGAAATCAATGGCAAACTGGTAAACTGATTCATCTCTAACCACAGTATAGGCACTTCAGCTTATTGATTCGTGAAATCAATGGCATGTCAAGTAGCTGGATGTGACTTTGATGAGTTGAGTAATTGATTTTATGTCCGTTGTTTTCTTTTGTATTAATTGCGTTCAAATTTCTTCTTCATCATATTTGTCCTTCCCAAGACTGTATTTACTTTGTAATTACATTGCTGTAGAGTATTGTTGTTGATGGGGTTTGCTCAAATCATATCGGTTTCGTAGTTTTACTTGTAGGAAAATTTAATTAGATGGATCTAAATAGCACATAAGTCTCAGTCGGGGATTGGTCGAACAATGCATTTTTCTATTAAAGTTTAAGTCTTCATGAAAGTCTCGTTTAAATTTAGCATGTGATCCTGAACTAGATCTCTTGGTATTTTTTATTTGTTCTTGCAGAAGATTTTACTGGAGTTGGATTGTACATTATCTCAAAGGCAAGTAGAAGGCTGTAAAGACGGTCTCAATTATTTCAGGTACAGTTTCTTTATTTTACTAATTTAAAGAAATGAATGATGCTATTGATCGACTCAGAAATACATAAAGCCTTACATAATATTTCTCATCTGTTCTTTTGGATCGAAAGCAGTGGTTGGGAGTGCTCTCTACTTTAATTTAGTATCCAAGGATCTTTTGTGTATGAACGGATTGCAGAAATATGACAGATAGCTAGCTAGTAGGTTATGCAGAGGTATTTGCTAGAAATCTCTTATCGAATTTGAAGGGCTTGAAATGTGTACTAAAAGTCCGCAAGCAATGTACGAATGAATAAGGTCATTTGTAAAACAATCTGTGATTTGTTTAAGCTAGTCAATCTGTGATTTGTCGCTTCCTTGGCTGATCAGATTCGAGAAACTTAAATTTATAGTTACTCGTTTTTGAGAGGTGAATCTATAAATTATCGTTAGTTTTTTCATCACATTCGAGCTCTCGTTTTCCTCACTATGTTCGAATGGCATTGCGCGGGCTGGGCATCTTCTGCTTCGGGTCTTTTGAGTTGGTGATTGTTATCAAATTGTTATTTGAATTAAATTCTGTTGGAATTATATGTTGATACTTCTTTCAGTCTTGGTTGTCCTGATATCTGAATGCAACAATTAAATTGTTTTGCAGATACTACCAGGTCTAGGTGTTTGAACAACGAAGCGGAGAACGTTCATATAGATGACTCCCTCAGATGAAAGGGAAGTGTTATAGGCACTTCAAAAATCTCATTCTACACTCCTCGCAAGTGTATTTTGCTTTCCAAATATAGAAAGTTTGGAGTGTAGAATGAGATTTTTGGAGTGCCAATAACAATTCCCAAACAAAAAATTATTGAACCATTTGTAGGTACAGATTTCCGTGGCAAGCTTAGCGTTTGATTGCTAATTTCTTGTTTCCCGTATTTCGTCTATACGACTGGTATCAGACTATGCCAAGTACAAGAGACGCATGTATATGTTTTTGGTTTACATAAGTTTGTGATACACATGATGATTACCATCTCTTCAATACACTTGGTCTATTTTGTAGTCTTAATTTCTACGGAGACGGTATTCAAATGAGTAATGATTTCCGCACTCCTTTTCCTCTGCTCCTTTGATTGGCATAACCCAACGCCAACGGAGATAACAAAAAGAGCGAGTACGGAAATCACTCCCCCATTCAAGTTTCTACTAAGCGTTTTATTTGGGGAACGTAAATGAGACCGCATGGAAGGAAATGTATGTGCCAAGGGATACCTGCATCTTCTTTCCTACCACCCTATTTCGATAAGTCGTCCACGCCGCCACATCACCACCTCCGTCACCACCATCGTCCCCACTTCCCTATGTTTACTAAACTTCCACCACCACCATCATCTCGTGTTTCCGAGACATGAACATGTCGGTTTACCAGCCGGAGATCAGAGTTATTCAGATTTATGACATTGGCTTAAATTTGTACGTGACATTTTTTATGTTCTCGGAGGAATGCTATTTCGATATGTCGACCTGTATTAGGTGTTTAGTTCAAGCACCTTGCTCTAACTCTGAGATGGTTTTGAGTTGGGCATGAAAGGAGACGAGTTTGCCTGAGAGATCGAGGACGATGGCTGTGATCCATCTCTTGCAGTTTCAGATGCTCAACTTGAGCATGACTTCCGAGCGATTTCATATTTCTGTCTCAACGACGACGCTCATCATGCCAGCAGCCTCCAGTAATGGTGAACTTGATCTGCCAACGGACAGCCTCCGAAGCAAACTGCTCTTGAGCATCACCTGCTACTAACGTGCTTATGACGGGCAGAAAGGAATACTTCATGAATCACGGCTTATTACAAATCCCTGTTTCACATCAGATGGAATTCGCCGTTCTTTACCAACTAAAATAGAAAAGGCTGTATCACATCAAGAATCTGTAGCCGCTTGTTTTCCTACTTAAGCATCCAAACTTAATGAATCGCATCCCACTTCATGGCGTGAGATCGATCTCCAAAAGCCAGAAACAAACCCAAAAGGCCTTCCCTTTCTTGTGCCTCACCATCTTAAAACTAACTTGGCACTTATCTTCTCAACTTCTGACTAACCACTTGGATTTTGCTACCGTGCTGCTATCGCTGCGAAGCAAAGTCCTGATAGTATCACAAACCATTGTCCCTTTGAGTAGGCAGCTATATCCGTCAATTAACATGTCAAGTTAGCTGATCAGCAACTTCAAATCAATCCCTATTGCATCCTGCTTAAACATTCCAATATTTCATAAATTTCCTCCACTTGATGGTGCGATCTATCTCCTGAAACAAACCCATAAATTCTTCCTTCAGCCTCAATCCAGCTCCACCCTGGCATCTTCTTTAGATCCATCTCGCTCATAACTCTCCTTGTCTCTTCTACTCCATCCCACTGTCCCACACTAGCTTGTGTGTTACTCAACAGAGTATAGTACCCAGCGTTATCAGGTTCTAGTTCCAAGAGCCTCTGAGCAGCATACTCCCCAACATCTCTGAGACTGTAAATTCTACATCCTGAAAGAAGAGCACCCCAAATCCTACTATCCGGAAAAGTCATCATTTTCATAATGACAGCTAAGGCCTCTTTAAGCTTCCCAGATCGACCCAAGAGATCGACAATGCTAGTGTAATGGTCTAAATCAGGTTCAATACCAAACTTCCATTTCATGGAACAAAAAGCATCACAACCTTCAGTAACAAGACCAGAATGGCTACAAGCAGATAACAAGCTTATGAAGGTGACACTATTTGGTCTTACTCCTTCTCTAATCATCAGGTCAAATAGTTTCAAGGCTTCAAAACCAAGTCCGTGGCTTCCACAGCCCTCAATCATTGATGTCCAAGTCACTATATCTTTGACCAACATTCTATCAAAACACACTCTAGCTGCAGATAGACTACCACATCTTATGTACATGTTTATTATGGAGGTTTCGAGATGAGTATAGCTTTCCTCGTCTTCATACAATGATTTCCTTATGATGTAGCCATGAATTTGTTTTCCCAACTTCAAAGCACCTAGGTTTGCAAATGCATCAACGAGGCTTCTTAGTATCTCAGCCCTTGGTTCCGGACCCAAAGCTTGCATTTCGCGAAAGAGTCCAACAGCTTCACTAAACCAACCATTTTGAATGAAGCCAAACATCATTGCACCCCAAGTAATGCTGTTCCTGTGAGGGATTTCTCTGAACAGCCTATCTGAGATTCCTAATTCTCCACACTTGGCATAGAGGTCTAACAAAGATGTCTGCAAAACATGATCACAAAGCCCACGTTTTATCGCCAAACAATGCAAGCTTTCACCTTGGGAAAGAATCCCATGTTTGGTCAATGCTGATATAACCAAAGTTAATGTCTCAACGCCCGGCGCCACTTTGCCCTGCATATCATTGAACAACTCTCTTACTTTCGCAACATCCCCTCTGGAAGAAAAAATGGAAATGCAGATATTCCAGGAGACGACATCCCTTCTATCAAGCTCGCTGAAAAAGCCTTCAACTTCGTTGATTGTACCTAATTTAGCATACATTCTCAAGATTGAGTTCTGCACAGATGCATCATACAGCAAACCATTCTTAATCACATAACCATGAAATTGACTTCCACATATTGCACTTTCAGTGCCACAACATCCTTGCAACATGATCAACATAGTAACGGAATTCGGTTCCAACTCCAACCTCATTTCATTGAACAAGCTCAACCCACTGGGAACATTCCCCTCCGAAACATGCCCGGAAATCATCGATGTCCATGAAACCAAATCTCTTTGACACATTTCATCAAACAACTTACGAGCATGATCAATTGCTCCGCATTTCACATACAAATCAATCATTGTATTACCAAAATACATATCCATTCCAAAACCCATTTGAATTGCCACACAGTGAACCATTCCTGCATACCCAACTTCACCCCCAAGCAACACAACCACCCTGTTTACAATCGGGAACGTAAAGCAATCATGCGAAACACCCAACTCACGCATCTTCTTGTACAGCAACAGAGCCGAATCAACAAGACCACATTCAACATGGGACTTCATCATTAAATTCCACAACATGGTATTTGGTTCTCTAATCGAACCGAAAACCGAAACGGCGCTGTCGAGGTCATCGAAACGAGCGTACAGAGTGAATAACTTTGAAAAATGGGAAGAGGGCTGGATCCCAGTTGAGACCAGGATACGAGCGGACCTGTTTCAGGGTCTGGAGGTTCGGACATGAATGCAGCAGCACCGAGCTTGACGAAGAAGAAGAAGAAGAAGAAAGAGAGGGGGCGGTGTGGTGGTAGTGGGATTTCAAGTGATGGGTTCGAAGTAGCAGAGCAAGCTTGGAGTGGAGAGACGAGAACTCGAAACGTTGGAAAACATGGAAACGGGAAGAAATCTTGAAAGATTAAGACGAGGACTTGAAATCTGGAAAAGCTAGAGAGACAGTATTCTCAGTTTTGTGCACAAAGGAGGTTCAAATCAGTGAGCGAATGAATAAAACTTAGTGCCAAAGAGTCCCACATCGACCAGTCGCAAGGAAAGGATTGAACAGAATCTGTTCTATAGGATCGTGTTTAGCATCCTTCATCTGTAAGGAAACGGGAACCCTAACCTGGTGGATGAATCATGACCGTGTGATCAGAGCGTGATTAACAGCCTTAGTCAGTTTCAGTGGCTGGTGGATGGGACAAGGATTGTCTGCTTTCCCACTTTTGGTGCTCTTTCCGTGCTTTATTGTTTTGTGTGGTCACGGTTAATTTACATCAACATTTTATATTTTTTTATAAAGATAATAAGATAAAAATGAATAGTAATTAACAGCTGATGATTCCTTTTTTGAAAATATTGTTATGCAACGACATTGAAAAAGTATAACAACATTATAACAACATTGAAAGAGTATAGGGAGTTGGCAAATTAAATTAAGAAAAGAGATTTGAAGCTATTTTTTTCATTTTCTTTGTAAATGGTTTAAAACCGAACTGAACTGAACCAAATTATTTGGTTTCATTTCGGTTTTAGCCTCAAAACCGCACCAACCAAACCATGATGACCCCTAATTGTATGATTCCTTGGTTCCATCAAGCGGTTGAGGATCGTTCTCAGCTAGTTTCACTGGCTGGGGTGGTCGCACGGTAGTCTGATAGGTTTCCTTTTTTTTTTTTTTTTTTAAATTTAATTTCTTTTTAGCTGGATTGAAAATTGTATGATTAATTATATAGCTACTTATATGGCACATGTGTAAGAACTAAGAAATTATATAAATACTATTTGAGGTGTTTGTATATGAACTCTTCAATCCTCGTGATAAAAGTGGTGTACGCTCGTTATTCACAAAGCATTTATGCGTAGCTTATCCAAGAAGTGGATGATTGACCAAATCAAGCCATTTATGAATAATAGTATATCACTGATAGACTTAGAGCCATAAAGAAGTTCTTGACGTTCATA